CACGACAAATTCACGTGCTTGACTCTTTTAACACCACTCCACGTTTGCGCCGCGTGTGAGCACGCATTGGTGCTCGGCGGATGCACATTTCATTTCTACTGATACTGCTGATGACGTGCGAGTGCGACTTCGTACGAGTCAGGTGAGCGGGATCGTTGATCCGTGGCTGTGGCAACGTAAACAAATCCTCGGAAACCCATTGCTTCAGAGCAGATCACATGATGTACCATAGAAAGTGACGATCTGATCCTCTTACACGCTGGCGGAACTGTGACGTTTGGACTTCTTTTCGCGGATGAATGGTGAATATGCAACAAAAATTTGCAAATATGGCCCATATTTACAAAAATATGATATTTTGGTGATACACGCGAAATAAAATAGCCTAAATTGATTCTCAAAACGTCTACAATCGGTTGGAAATGGATGTTTTAGTTAACAGAAAAAGTATTCAAATGCATGTAAATCACAACCCTAGTCATCAGTATGGTGCCCATTGCGGGTCCGCTAAATTTATCTCAGGGGAGAATTCTTCGATTACGATCCTTGGCCGACGGTATTTTTTTTCAAGCTGCATTGCATAATGTTGAACTTTGTAGCACCCAGGAGATATGTTCTTCTTACAGGAGGGAATTATATATAACGCTATACTTACTGGTCGTGGCAGGCGTCAGATCGAATGCTCTGTTCGAGCTTTAAAATCTCAGGGGGGCAGGATCTTTTGGGGTATGAGATTTACATCCAGACAAAGAATTAGAAGATATTACAGGCTTGGAGAGACATTAAAAACTGTGCCTGCAAATTTCCAAACACCTAAAAAAGTTAATTGCACTTTTGCTGTTTTCATTTGATTCTCTCTCGCACACATATATATGCGTGGCTGTGAACATTTATAAAATTGTTTAATGTTTAGGTTTGCATTGTATGGTATTTAAAAACCTCTTGTATCTTTTGATGTAAGAGTAGTAATAATTTCATTTGTTTTATTTTAATTTATTTTTATATTTGTATATGTAGGTGTATTGTAAATCTGTAAGCTTATGGTTATCACCTGAGTCAGCTAATTGTGGCAAGACTTTCAAAAGTGTGAGTGCAGTCTGTCTGCTACGACCCACGAAGCATTCATTTGGGAAGCTCTAAACGGACTTACGACAAAGGAATGATAGCTGATTGAAAAATTCTCAAACCTCTCTCTTCCAGGCTCGATGTATTCAGTTCCAAAATCTTTTGCGGGAACTTGATGTCTGTCTTCCTATCTCCTGAAAACTACCAAGCAATCGCATTCCCTTTTGGACACTCATACGTTGCAATATTGACCTCAAACACTCCAACCTTCCCAAACAGGCATCTAGTTCCCTTTTGTACCAAATGCCGTTTCAAGATGAGGACGACATACCCAGATCGTATATTCATATACACCAATTTTTCATCTCCCAGTGGCACACAGTTTTCATTGTATTAGGGCCACCAGCAAATCATTTCGAATTCACTCTCTGCGGTGTATGTATGCACCTTTAAATTAAGGCCGATTCAGGATTCACTGGTCTTGCTCATCCTGTGCTGCTACACGCGAGTAAGTAATTTTAACGTAGCCCTGGTAAAATTCGGCCATTGTTACTTTTCGTATGATTTACTCCTGCGATATGACCTTTCTACTTATGTATAAGACCTCTCTGTGTAACATGTTCGACATTGTGGGAAGTTTAATGGCAGGCGGCGCAGACATTCTCTGGGGATCTCTCTCTACGAGAGGTGCTCAACAACGCCGAGTCGGCACTCTCAAACCTCTTTTCTTTTTTGCGGGAAAGAAGGCCTAACCATTTAGTACGGTATGAGAAATAAGAATAAAATTGTTTTTCTCCATGTTGCTTGGGCCGTTTACAGCCCTAGTTTGCATTGTTATTATTTACAATTCTTGCACTTTCGTTTAATCGATTTTGTTTGTATACTAAGCCTTAATTTCAATTTTCTCGCCAACTGCTGCAGGGGGAAAACTGAGTATTTTCGACCGAGAAACTCTGATTGTCGGGCCCTGGTTACTAAAAGGTGGGTTGATCTTGCTCCTGTATGTAGTAAATTACTTCCTCTAGCACATACCTCCGGCTTCTGCTTTATCTGCTATTGACACGGCCCGTTCCGACACCGCTGGTCGTTAGGACGGGACCAAACTTTTAGTGAGTCCTAGGCAGCTCTGACGCCCGGAGACGTAACTAATGAAACGTGTCTTAACAGAGCCACACTAGATGCCAAGCCTAACTGAAAGGAAAACATTTCAACTTGGATAGGAACTTCGAGCACTTCTCAAACTAATGTTGATCAAGAGCTCGTTGTTATGGGAAATAAACTCAAAATAAATATTCAATCCCACGACCAATTGAACGAGTTCTATGCCAAGTTAGTGGAGATTTTTGGGCGGCTCCTCTGTACCTACCACCATGAGTTCTAAAAGGCCCCGTAGACATGGAGGCAAACGCTCTAGGAAGCCCTACACGTACACCGAAAAAAAAACAGTTGGAGTATACCAGATCCATGATACTGTAACAACATACTGTCTCCCCATCACAATTAGTTCTCTGCTGTGCAGAATCTTTTGGCGCATATGGACAAACGCATTCGATTCGTGGTGAAGTTCAATCCATGCCAGAAATGGTTTATTCAAAAAACCTGGTTGTTTCGCTAATATTCAAATTGTTCATGAAGCAGTTTATGACATGGAAAAAAAGCGGAAGGGGGTGTAGATGCTCTGCTAGATATATTATAAGCAGTTGACACTGTTCCTCATGCGGCGATTCAATGGGCTCTGTCCAGGAAAGGGATCCCTGACACCTTTACCAATTTGGTAATGGACTCTTACGCCGATGTTTCACCGTCATTCAGCACCCCTCGAAAGGAATTGAAGTGCCAATACGTAAAGGAGTAAAACGGGGAGATCCCGTTACCCCACTCCTTTTTAATCTCGTCATGGAGTGCCTGCTTAAGATATCGGAAAACATGTCACGATACACGCTATTGGAAACGAGTGTCTCCGGATTAGCATTTGCTGACGATCTGGTGCTGTTAGCAAAAGATGCCCCTGGAATTCTCGAAAAGAATCCCGTTGCGAAATTCGTAATGGAGCGCAGATCCGACATGAAATATGCCACGCGTAGCGAAACTTGAATTCCGTTAAAAGTTAGTTATAAAACGACGCTTGCGGGTATGTGTTGTTCGTATAAAATATTAACAATTAATTTTTTTGTCGTCCATATGGCCGAGAACGTTAAGGCAGTAATGTCGCAGCGATCTCGGACTGAAGGATCGCAGGTTCGTGTCCCGCCTCGGGCATGGTTGTATTTGTATTCATCCTTTACCCCCTATCATCACCATATCATTTCATCTTCATATTTACCATAACGTTAAATCCAATAGTGGTCGCTAATGACCTAGATACTGATGCTACCTTCAATAACTGAATAAATGAATTAATTTTGCTAATTGTTCGTGCGTACCAAAATACACTAGTTCTGTTGTTGGCTATGTCAAACTATGCTTCAATTTTTCCAATTCATAAGGTTCGTTTAGTGACAAGGGCTAAACAAAACTGCGTCGGTCCCTCTAAGCAAATTCCTAAGTTAAGAGGTTTTACTGAAAATTGGACATTTACACCAACTTATTTCGCTCTATTTAATTCCGATTCCCCCCCCCCCGCTACTGTTGCCATTCGTGTTAAAATTTCGAAAATGTATATAGAAGTGTATAAGGAATATTCAGTTTGGTAAAAATTTGGTATCGAAGTAGTTAACTAAAGATGTATTACTTTAACTATTCCATAGCAATTGAATAAATTTGAAGGAAAAGGAAGAAAGGGCAAAAATACCACAAGTGTTGTGAGAGGACGTTTTGATATTTTTTTCCATGCCTGAGTCGGTGATCCAAGACACAGGGGAAGAGTTGTAAATCTGGATCCAACCTGTTCCCCTTCATTTTTCCACAGGTCTCCCACTTATCCTTCACCTGTGCCCGAATTGGTTTCTCATAAGGTGTCAAAACCGTTAGTGCTTTCTTTGTATATGATATACGATTAAAGAGCTTTAAATACTTGATCATTTGTAACTACATTCCAAAGTCAAAATATTACTGTTTGCTACAACAGTGTTCATAAATGAATAAAATAAGAACATTAAAATAAATGCACACTGTTGGAGTCATTTTCAAAGTAGATTTAAAGTCAAGGGGATTTAAAGGTGAGGAAAATTAGAATTTTTTTAAACTACATCTTAGGAGTGGAAAGATCTGAAAAAATGCACAATTTGTGTTTTGAGACGGCCTTTTAAGATGTTTTTCGAGCTTGTTCTAGGGTTCTAAGACAGTAAAACCAATTTTTATGTTAAAAAAGGCGTTTGAATTCGGCGCAGAGAAAATATCAAAAAATGTTTTTCTTATAGTATCAATTATTTTCTTCTTTTTCCCAGTCAGATAAAATAATATTAATTTGAAGAGAAACTCAAATTTAAAAAACATTTTTGGCTGTAGCTGGGTCTAGATGGTGGGCACGGGGCTAAGAAAACTTTCAAGAATCTTATAATGGTAGTCATAGTGTAAATGCTCATATGTCATTTGGATTAGGAGAATATTTTACTATCTTATCCGGAGATACCCTTTGTCAACGAATGGCAGGAGTATTAGAAGTTTTATACGTCTTTCCATATTATATTACCTAACCGTTAGAAATACTACATGAAACTAGGTGCTGTTGTAACGTTAGTTAATTTGTTTTGAATATTTTCTCTCTCTCTCTCTTTTCTCTTTCTCTCTCTCTTTCTCTCTCTCTTTCTCTCTCTCTTTCTCTCTCTCTTTCTCTCTCTCTCTCTTTCTTTCTCTCTCTCTCTTTCTTTCTTTCTCTCTCTTATATAATATATAATATATATATATATATATATATATATATATATATGCATTAATTTTAATTTAATATATACATTTTCTTCGTATTTTCACCAGCCATTTGTGTTTATTTACAGAATTGGCCAATCGTAAAATTCTAGAGGAACTTCAACTAAAGAAGCAGCTTTTGTTGAAGCAAGGGGTGGCTCCAACTCTGAATTCAGCCATGAGTCCTGGAATTTCATCAACTGGTGCTAATGTAAGTGAAATAATTTTCAGATATTACATGAAATTTTTGTTTAAAATTAGATGTACGCAATCGTATTTCAAGATCATCTCTCAGCAACAGATGTCATTTAGGAAACCATTAAGTAACCTAATATTTTCCTAAGAACCTGTTATTGTCCTAATCTGCAATTTTCGAAAATTCAGTGTTCAAGGCTAGGCCTAGGACTTTATTTTTACAGCCCTTTTGTTTTATCCGTGGAATAAAAATTAGGAAAACAGTGAAGCGTTTTTTGAGAAAATAGGTTTTTTATAAATTGCATTAAATTCAAGTAGAAATTAAGACAAAACTAGTTTTTTTTTTAATTTGTACATTTTATTTTTAACGAACTGATTTTTTTGAATATGTTGTTTAAGGCAAAACCTTCATCTTCGTTTTAATTTTCAAATTTACCCTTACCCTTTCGCAATTTGAGTTCATCGGTTATTGAGACTAGCCGCAAATGTTTTTCTATACTTGGATACATATGAAGAGAAATATTAAAGAAAGAATGGAGCAGTTTTTTACAAATTGTGCAACAAATTTAAAAATTGCCTGTTTTTCACACGAAAATACTCAAGGACGGACGGACTGGGAAGGACGGACGGACTGACATTCCATCATAAGTATTTGAATTAATATCGCTGTCTCAACACTCCTGGCACTAACGCAACAACATAACACAATTTATTCTAAAACAAGTACCAATTTTCTAGAACTAATTTTGTGGGTACTCGTAGTCTTTTCAAATCGTACATTGTTTTTCATAAATGCATAAGGACCATAGTATTCTCGAAAAACGTTTTGTAGATTTTTTGGCTCTTAATAATTTGGACCGCACTCGATTATATCTTTGAGAATTTGTCGTCCCTGTTGTAAAACGTCAAGACTGTGGTGTAAACGAAAATTCATGAAGGTCATTTTTTCCGCTGATGAGACATGTTGACGAGAATATCTATATTTGCTATTACTATTTTCCTGATACACTACTTTTTTTTACGTATCGATAATTTTGTCAGAAAAAATTAAAGATATCCGTGCAGGTTCAGAAAAGCTAATAAACTGATACAATTGAGGGCATGAACAATTTAATATTAAGTGGTACGCGTTGTAAGAATGATACTACTTGACGGGCATCTAGATTAAGGGACGATATTTTGCTTTTGTTTCGTTGTGAAATAATGGAAAAGTTCCGACTTATTCGTGAAACTGCGTTTACTGGGGAAATCGCCGATTTTTACACAGAAAAAAACTCGTATTGACGGGCCGTGGTTATGAAAATTTGATAAATCGTTTTCGGGGATTATCAATTTTGGAGAAAATCTGTCATAGAATCAACGGTTTAGGCGCTACCACGGACGAACAGACAGAATTGACATTCGTCAAAGTTTTAAACTTCACTTTTAAGCGGCGCAAAATAAGTCACTTTGAGAAGCTCTCTTGAATGCCCTTTTTCATTCTGTGTTAAAGGTCTTTCTTTCGACTATTGTACGTCGAGTTACTGAGCTTCTCTTTGCGCCAACATCCACGTGCATCACACGTAAATGCACAGATTGCACTTGTCTAAATGAATGTTGACGATAAACTCACGAGATAAAAATACAGAGCAGTAGAAGAACCTTGAAATTACATGCCTGTAATTGACATTCCACGTCTCGGGTCTCGAGGAATATTTGGGAAGTGCTGCTGCAGTCTACGTTGGTATGAGTTGCTGGTATCAGTTAATTCCCTTAATTATGGGTTACACTTTTAAATGAATTTAAGTTTCTATTCTGCGAATCAGCAGTAAGCAGTCATAGGATATTGACCATAATTTTATTTAATTTCTTTTCGTCGAAGCAATGCGTCTTGTTGGACCTAGAGCGCCTGGTCTTACCCTCCGTAAAGTTTTTACTTTCTTGCTAAGTTGTGGCCGTCCGTCCGTGGTCAACGCTAGCACCTTTTAGCCGATTTTCTCCAAAATGATGTTTCCTGATCGATCTGAACGAATTCGAGGCTTTGAGAGTTTCAAACGGATATTTTGATTTTTAAGGGCATTTTACATAAAGCGTCGAATAATTTCAAAATTTTCTCTAAACTTTGTTCTCGGGTAGTGTAAAGGACGCTTAAGAGATAGTGTATGTCTCATGTTCGTTGAAATCCCTGTTTGTTTTTTTCCCTCTTCCTCGAGAACTTCAAACTTTCAATTTCCTTGGGGGGAGGTCTTCCTACAACTACAATATTGAAGATACAGATTTTCTTCCTCATTGAAATCTGTTCTTTAAGCACGTATTTAAATATGATCATTATCAATTTTTCGACAAAAAATGAGTAGTTTTCGTTTGATTTTGCGCAAAAGATGGAATTTTTTGTTTTAAACAAATAAATTACATTATTTGTTTTTTCCTTTCAATTTTCTCCTGATATCTATCAAGGGACAGTAAAAAATATTCGTGTGTCATTTTCGGCAACCGCTCCATATTTTCGAAAACTGTAAAAAGTTAACATTTTAAAACTAAAAAATTGAAGCAATTTTTGCCTTAAACAAGTCCGTTCTAAAAAATCAGCTCTTTGAAAAAGGTAGTGTACATTAAAAAACAAGTAGTAAAACACGATGCAATTTCTAAAAAAGTCAATAAATTCTCCCATCGTATGCAACAAAAGGCGGTAAAAAAATTTGCTGCTAATCTCATTTCCGGCGAACTCCATATTTTTGAAAATTGCAACAAATAACATTTGCAAACTAAAAGCCCGAGTTCGAAATCCATTGCGTTTCGATAGCATAGAGGTAAGGCTCGTGGCTAGTAAACTCGGGGACCTAACCCGAGTCACGGTGCAGGTTTTTTTGCTGGTTGAAAACACTTTTGCATGTGTATATGTAGTACTATAATATGGCGGAGCATATAGAAATAATGCGAGAAAGTATGTGCTGTTGTAACCTCTAATGTTGTTAAGTCTCATCACGACGCGGTCAGACATTGGCTTTTATCCCTTCAGTCAGGGGTTTGGAACCGTTATGAGGGATTCCCAGACGGTCATCCGCTTAGGAATCCACAGAATCAGGAATTGCTTAACTGCCGGGACTTCGCGTGGCGTATTTAATAAATTCTGCTAACGATGCCGACGTTCGGTATAAGGGGCAGACTATTAGATGAATGTGCGGAGAAAATAAAATATAATTACGATTTCCATGAATAAATTTTGGTCTTTCAAATTGAAATGGAAGCGGCGCTTCTTACACGTTCACGGACGCTAGTTTTTGTTGGAATAGAGCACATTTGATAGAATTCGATGGTAGAAGCCATTTTAATTTGAAGTTTCGAAATTTCAAAATCATAATATTATTACAGTGATTATGTGTATTTGTTTTCTTTCACGCTTAGTTGTACGTAGTACAGAAAACGTCGTATAATGATCCAGCAATAACCGGCAATTTTTCGTCAGAAAACACGTTTGTGTGTTCCTGGTAACGAAAAAACGGATTATCCTTTCTCGTATATATAGTAAATTACTTCATCTAAACCGTCGTGTAGTCAGAATCCACGTTTTGTGGGACTTGACAAATTTGTTTAGCAAAAACTACTGTAAATTTTTCCTTAAATTTGTTCTCGAATAGAGCAAAGTTTACTTATTAAAATGACGCTGGTCTGATTTACGTTGAAATCTCAGAATTTTGTAAAATTGCAAAAGTTCGAATGTTTCGTCAATATCCTCCAATACTCGAGACTTTTACCTGAATGATGTGAAATGCGTCGTCTTGTTTAGTTGTACGATTCGGTGAGGAGGGTAAGTGGGTTTCTCGACTAAGAGAACGAACGCATCCAGTAACGTCATAACCTTGATAAAGCGGTCACTTAGTTTTAATTCGTTGCGTCTGTACACACAACGCGTCTTCTAGCTCCTAAGAGTGTTGAATGCGCCTTGGAGTAATCCTCCATCAATTACGATTATAGGCGTAATCCTCCTATTATACACTCAGCACCCTCTAGGGGCCGCTGAGTAGTATCAGTCAGTCGCTGAGTAGTCAAGTCAGGGAATCGCCGATAAGTAACGTCTTTGCGCTACGTCATCTACCTATCGGCCAGGATTGGGAAGGAGTAAGGATAGGGGTAAGACGCTTCACAAGGGTTGTACTAGCCCCTGTGAAGCATGCTAACTCCTAACAAATGTCGTAACAAATTTGAGTTTCTACGGGGATTCTTCGGGAATCGAACCATAGTGGTGAAAAGCTGGCGACTTCGTCTCTGAGCCACGAGAGCAGTTTTAACTGCCGATTTTTTGCCATTTAGACTATATACTCCTAAGACATTAAATATGCCTGTAATAAGTATTATGCCTCAGTTTTGGGGTCAAAGATCGCCATCGCGATTAGATTTCCTTTCGGTTTCCTTCTTTGAGCGAATGCTGTGATGGCCCCTTGTTTAACTTCTGAACATATTACTTGTAACTTCACTATATGTGCCCGGTCTCCAGAGTTGTGGAGATAAAGCTATTCAAATTATCATTTCCATGTTCGTGGCAGAAAGTCGGTTCCTTCATGAAGAACACAAAGATGGATAATAGCCAAAATCTGTAGCTGATTCGCCTTTGCAAATAGTTTTTATTACATGTGAGCAAATGTTTTCTTAGCAATTCTTGCCACAATTGATTTTTTCCACCTGTATTCCGAATTAACTTGAATATGAGTTAGGGTAGAAATCCAATAATTTAAGAAAACCATATATAGAATACACTTTTCCCGTTAGTAAGTCACACCGTTTTAATTTAGTTTGCCTTACATAAATAAATGGATAAATTAATGGATGAATCAATAATGAATTAATTAATGGATGAATCAATAATGAATTAATGCAAGCACTTGCCCACATAATTTTAATATTAATGTAAGTAGTTATAAAAAAATTATTCAAATTAATGTTGCACATAGTAGTTGAACTGCAATTTGTAGTTTGCAGTCTTGCCGATTAAAATTTTTGCAGTTGAACTTAATTCAGTTCGATTGGGATTCTAGTGGACAGCCTCTTTTATTGGATTTCCAAGCAGATTTTAGTGCTGTACCTGAATAATAGTCAGAAACTGTTTATGATCGTGATCCTCCCAGCCATGTTCCTTGCCATTGCTTCCTAAGAGCTTGTGATCAGCCACCTTGTGTTCTTGTAACTCGTGACCTAAGAATAGGGAAACATAAATCTCTGTATTCATAACTTTACAGTTCTGAGGAGTGGCATAAAGTGTTTGTGTGTCATCAGTGCAGAATAATTAGAGTAGGAATTCATTTACTTAATTTCAGAATTTTCATTAAGCACCAGTAGACTCGGCAATGCTTTGCTATTGTATTGTATTGCATTACACTTAATACGCTATGCTCTGCAAAACGATTAATAGATGAAAGACTTTTCCGCGAGTATGGGCTTGTTCTATGTCCTGGTTTAGACATGATTGTCAAGTACCTTATTGTTAAAACGTTTTTCTTAAGTTTGAGCATGCTCTCTCTATGACATTGTCGTGAGATATTCGATTTACTTGTCAGATATAACGTTCAAGTATATAATTCGGTCAATATTTCACAATCGCAGGGCAAAATATGGTAAAGACGTGCTTAATACTTTAGGGTTCGTTGGGTGATGTAGACCTTCTGATCAGGGGCGCTTGAGTCGGCATAAGCGCATAAAATCATAAACGCGTATCTATGTGCGACAGACATTCGCATTGTAGAATGTCTATGGTATTCTCACAAGTGCAAGCAATGGGCTGACAGTTTTATCGCAATCGGATGAACGGTATGGTAATGCATAAATACGAACACGCAAACAAACATCGATTTTTGTATATTAGATTATGGGGCACCGGTTTTTCTGAATTTGTAAATCTTGCAATAGTAGAAACTTGCAGGCATGTTCATAAGTGTATTTGTTTTAATTTTAAATGCATGTAATGAATGCTGTGTCGAAATACATAGAACATTATTGTATTTATGTTTATTTTTTACAGAAAATTAATGAGCATGTTTTCTTTTTTTACAGGCATCTGCCATTGCTCCTGACACTCATGTTATGTCTTCATCACAGAAAGCTTTACAGCATGCTCACAGTCAGTCATTTGGCTCATTTGTTGCTCAGGATTCTCTTTTTGGCAACTTGATTCTGCCAGTTCTACCAAGATTTGATAACAAGCCGCAGTAAGTCTACATTTAAATAGTAGATTTAATGGTGTTTTCTGATTATATTGATTCATACTTGTTGAAGACCAGTGATGCAGTTGTAGAATGATTTGCATATGCATATATCCTTCTACATTGTTGGGACATATTTTATGAAGTGAAAATATCTTCACTCTTGCAAATACTCTGCTAAGTTGTCATTATTGAGTAAATTTTATGTTCGCCATGGCATTGTTTAAGCCAAAAGCATTGGAGTGCCAACTTCAAAATGTTAAAGGCTTTGAGAAACCAAAGGTGAAATTGGAACAATATGTTACTTCACCTCATATTGCAGCTCATATGTTACATACCATCCAGTCTACATTTGATGATATAGAAGGTAAATTTGTTGCGGACTTGGGCTGTGGATGTGGGGTTCTAACAATTGGTGCAGCTCTTCTGGGTGCAGCACAGTGTGTAGCATTTGACATTGATCCTGATGCATTAGAAATGTTTACTCTCAATGTTAATGAATTCGATATTTGTAATATTGACACAGTGTTGTGTGATGTTCGATTCATTCCTGTATCTTGGAAAAAGACATTTGACACTGTAATAATGAATCCACCGTTTGGAACCAAACATCAACAAGGTATTGATCTGCAATTTCTGCATGTCGCTTTAAACTTGGCTGGCAAATCTGTATATTCATTGCATAAAACTTCAACACGAAAATATGTTATGCAAAAAGCAGAAAGCTGGGGAGCAAAACCAAAAGTTCTTGCAGAGTTACGTTATGATCTTCCTGCTACATATAAATTTCATAGAAAACACTCTGTTGATATTGATGTAGATCTAATTAGGTTTAATCTTGAGTAGCAAATAATTGCTTGTGCTACAAAGAGAATATGTTTCTTTGTAAATGTGAATAATGAAAATTCTTCTTAATTAAAAAACAATCAATGATTGTCTCTGATATTTTTGTTGTAGGAAAGTGGTATCCTCAGGATATTTAAAGACAATAGACCACTTGTATATCTGAATATACAGCATAGTCTTATGTTGAACTGTTGCTGCTGTGAATTGTTTAATTTGTCCTAGAATATATGCTGGAGATTAAGGGTTTCACAATACTAAGGAAAAATCTGTAAGCACATTGTTTTAGAAAGTTCAGCTCTTTCTGGTAGGTCATTCTACTGTTATGTACACCTTGTCTGTATGGCAAAGCTCCGAAATCATCCCTAGACACAGCATCAAAACTTACCAACTGCCAGTGTTTGCTTCAATCTCAATGTATTTGATTGTGTTGTGCTTTAACAGCTATGAATGACTCCTAACTGGTTTGTTTCTGTAATTCTTTAACCTCCAGTTCTCAGGCCACTATCAAGTCTTCCTCCTTGTGGAGTTCATCAGGCGAAGAATATGTTGTAGGTATGGCACATTGTTATACAAACTTTTTTAGAATTACATCAATATCAACACTTCACATGTGTTTGAAATCCACGGTGCCTTTTAGAGTCCCTTGGTGAAAGCCTAGGAGATAAGCATCTCACCACAAACTGATCACAACATATCTATTTGTGATTGTTTCATTGAAAATATATATGCGTGATGTGTGCTTCAAAAGATCATAAGAGATGTACAGCTGTATACTTTATATTAGCTCTAAATGGGTTTTAAGATGTAACCTACACAAAAAATGAATGAAAACATTATAAATGGATGTTCCATTGGTTTTGTGCATGAGAAGATACTGAATATTTGTGATTTCAATATAATATTGAAAAGCTTTCTGTAAGAGATACTAAAAACTAATGAAAGGTAGGGATATTACTCTGCAGTTCGATAGTCACGTGTGTCTTTGTAATCAAGTGCTGTGAAGCCCAGGCATGAATAAATAAATTGTGTAGTAAGTTTTTGTGAAAGTATAAATAATATAACTAGTAATTAATATTGACAAGGTTGGCTGTATGTGTGGAAATCACCATGTAAGAAATTTGAGAAATCTTATAAAAACTCCAAAGTAAATTATGGTAAACAATTTTTTTTTGTATTCTAGCATTATAAACAACCTTTTCCGTTTCAAGAAATCATTCATAAAATTATGTCTAACACCACAGATGATTGCACATTTGCTATTTATGGCACGAATAATTGCATCATCTCGCATTCAGCCAACCGTAGCAAGAGAATGGTGGGGTGGTATTAGTAAACTGAACAGCCGACCACCATTTTTCACACTGATGTTAAATACCTGTGATGTCAATAAAGATGTTTCCCAAAATTAACCTCGATTCTCTTATAAATCTATAATGCTGTTATACAAAAAATAATGTTTGCAACTTCTTTATAATGTTGCTTTATTGCATTTGTACGAATTTGAAAATCGCCCCTAATTTCACTTATTTTCAAAACATGTACTCATGACTTAAAGCTTAACAATATAAACTATTTGCATAATATAATAATTAAACCTAATAATTAATTTTAATTCTTATGAATGAACAATGTTTTTCAGAGGAGACTTATTAGAAACTGCCTCAGTTTTTTTTCATTGTTTTTTATATAGTATTACCCATTAACTTGTGGAGAACTGCATAAAATTCTGTTCTACATATGCTGAACAGAAGCATGCTTGCACAAGCAGTTTATGCATGCATTCATGCATGAACTGCTTGTGATTTTAGTCAACTAGTAGGGGTTCATTGGCATGCTTTAATGAGTTGTAAATACCTCTTATTATAAATGCAATTAAAGGTTTGTCAAGAATGTCTCTTATGTATATCTATCCAATACAAATGAATTTGAGAAAGAAATAAAATTTATTAATATTGCTAGAATGTTTATATTTTTTTTGGATGGAAAGTTAACACAACAGTTTCAGCTTGTTGAGAACAGCGGATGTATTAAGTACAAAAATTGATAATTTTTGTTAAGACTTTTTCAAAATTACCATTTTTAAGTTGTGCTTTTTTTTTTTTATTGGGTGAGGTTAGAAGAATTGCCGGTTATAGTTTAATTGATTTTACGAAGTAGATCTTTCACAGTTAATTGAGAATATAATGTCTGTGGTGGTCTTAAGCTTGTAAAGTTGAAACATGCTAGATTAAAACCAGTAAAGTGATTTACACTTTAATAGTAGTGGATAATTTTCTCAAAATTGCATTAATCATCTTTCTAATGAATACAAGTATTTCTCTGAAGGTGTGGAATAACATTCCTCAATTGTAACGTCTGTATTCATGGTTTCAAAACATAGGTTGAGAATGCATATTGTAAATTGTATCAATCGTTCTAAACTGAAATAAATTTAATGAATTTGTGTCTGAAGAGGGATACAAAAAGGAATTTTTAATAAAAAAAATTAAAGGATTACAGAACTTCAGTTCCTATGAATGTTTTGAGATGAGGGAAAGAGAAAAAGTAGAGCTTGTAAATCCAACTTGTGCAATGACCATCAAATAATGATTCAGTTTTAGGTTTTCACTCACTGGGCACAAAGTAGTGAAGAAGAGGAAGAAGCTGAAATATGGAATCCAGGAAAAATTTGAATTCTTCACACTTCAATTAATTTTATTTAATCTTCAAAATATACAAAATAGTATAATATTGAGTACAATATTGCACACACGCATTCCTTCCTTGTCCAGTGATGCTGCCTCCTCTTTTTCATATAATCATATAGCACCAGCATACCTGTCATATGCTCAGAAATTGATTTTATTCTTGTTTCATTAACATTACTATGTTTTCATGAATAGTCTTGCATAAATTGGGAAGTTGTAACGTCTCCACATTGTCAAAACCCCTTTAAAATCTTGGAAGTAGGACAAACTTCTGACCTCACAAACATTTAAACTAATTCTATAGAAAAAAGTGTAGGGGAAGAAATTCAGTCTTGCTGTGTTTCTTCTTTCTTTCTCGGTCTCTCTTTTTCTTTCTTTCTTTCTTTCTTTCTTTCTTTCTTTCTTTCTTTTTTTTCTTTTTTTCTTTCTTTTTTTCTTTTTTTCTTTTTTTCTTTCTTTTTTCCTTTTTTTCTTTCTTTTTTTCTTTCTTTCTTTCTTTCTTTCTTTCTTTTCTCCTTTTCTTTCTTTTCTCCTTTTCTTTCTTTTCTCCTTTTCTTTCTTTTCTCCTTTTCTTTCTTCTTCCCAGAAATCAGTTATACTTCACACCTTACTTCGTATTACAGTATCTCAGATCTAACAAAAAGCACTCGCACACTTGCAGGCTCCCCTTCATATGAGAGTCAGTGGAATGTGGTGTCCTCTGACACATCATAGAAAAGTAGAGACAAACATTTGTGCCGTGACAGGATTTGAACCTTTCAACACTTTGGAACAACATGTTTGGTACACACTTTATCCCCCCTGGCCCTGCTGTAGTCGTCAAAGGAAGAATCTTTAAAATATTTTTCTGCATATATGTCTTATCCTATTTTCTGGTTGGTAGGCATAGGACAGGCACAGTTTTCCTGGCACTTGATATTCAGATTAGTGTAAATGTATTCAGATTTATGTAAATATGTATAACTAAGATTTCAGAAAAATATAGATGCATAAATTTTTATCAAAGTGTGATGTGCAGTAGTGTGGGATTGTGGCCAAGCAAAATAAATAATGTATATGAAGTGTTTAATTCTGGATCTCCATGTACTTCTTTTCTTGTTGATGATTGAATCCTTGTAGTAAACGATTCAGTTTATGTAAGTTCATTATTTACTCAGTTTTTCATTGCTGTGGCACTTTAAGTACCACATTTTTTATGTAAATATGGACAAGTTAACTCCTGATATCACAAAGGAAGAAAATTTGTAAACAACACAAAGAGCAAATGTGAAGCAGCTGCATAATGTATCTAATTTGAATGTAATGTGAATGAAGTATTTGTAATGGAAAAGTTACTAAATTTGTGTCTCCTTTTTTACCAAAATGTTTAACTTATCAAAATTTGGTTGTTAATGTAAAGATGAATAATTAATATTCAGTTTTGTTCTACAAATTGGGTTAGATATTATTATAGTGTTTGTCTTTTAAGTGTAAATTAATTTAGTGCAATAAATTACATGGTGGTTCAAAATAACAAAAGATAGAGACTGGAGCTTGTGGCTACTATATTTTATGATGGGATGGGTGAAAGAAGTTTTGGTTTACTTTTCCAGAAAGAAAGTGTAATGTAGTTGAGTTCATATAATGGTAGTACAAAAGAAATGGAAGAATCCTTTGGCTTAAAATATTATTAAGCTATATAGCATTATTAGTTTTTATGGTTGGTCTATGCTATTTGAGCTAACAGCACTTTTACATACAGATTGTGGAAATAGTTTTTTAATTATTCATTCTAAATGATCTTCCTTAGAGATGCTTCTGTTTTTATACCCATTACAAGTATTTGCTAAGCATTGAGATGAGTTACTTGAGATCTGAAAACAGTGTAATTAATGAAGCTCAAAAATTCTGGAACTCTTATCACACAACTGTTGCCTTCACGATACATTGAGATACTTCGAGAACATTGTTACTTTTCAACATAATCTGCAGAATTTTTGAAAGTGGATCCCAGGGTGATGTGCTCACTAACTTTGTCTTGTTAATTTCGGCCATAAGATGTAAATGTGATAGCAATTTAATAGTATGTAAGAGTCGGGGTAGTAAGTG